ACAATAAAAATTTAGAATAATGGAATAAAGCACGCTTTATTCTTATAAGCACCTTAAATCTTCATCTTCGTCCCGACAACAGAGTTTCCCCTGAGAACACACCAATGCAGAAATTAAATATGGCTCTCAATTTGAATTCAAGTAGTGTGTAAAGATATTGACGCGATTATATTAGCTGGTATTTACAGAGCACTAATATCAGTTCGTAAAACATGTTTCGGTATTTTATTATGACGAGAGCAAGATTATTACTTATTACAGTCGAACGTTCCTTTTCGGAGTGGTTTATAGAACGCCAAACGCACCAGTTGAATTTTTGGAATGCTTGAATGAGTTTTTGTGCAAATATGTAAATGATACAACCAAGGTAATCATGACTGGAGATTTTAATTTGCCCCATGTAAATTGGGCTCTTTTGACAGCTGGTGGCATTGATATCCTTAACGGAGAAAAAAATAATTGACATAACGTTTAATCACAACCTTACCCAAATAGTCAAGGAATACACTAGAATCACCGACCAGTCTCAGTCAACATTAGACCTTGTCTTTATTACAGAAAACATATCGGATTACGAGATTTCAATTGTAGAAGGAATTTCAGACCATAAAATGATTTTGTTTACGATTCCACTACCACGACAGGGTCATTGCAGGGTTGCTAGGCCCCTAATTGTTAAAGACTTTACTCGCGCAGACGATACAAGTATTATAGATTACTTAGAGACATCCTTAGAAACATTAGACCAACTAAGCATTACAAGTACAGTAGATGATCTGTGGAATTTTTTTAAAAATACTACTTCCCTTTGCATTATTTCCTTTGTTCCCAATAAAACTAAAAAGACATATCGCACAAATCCCTGGATAACGCGTGAAGTTATCCACCTAAAACGTCAAATCAAAAGGCACAGAAAAGGTTTTAAAGAACATATAAATGCTCTAAAAATTAAATTAAAAACATCACTCAAACAAGCCAGAGAGAGATTCTTTTCAGTGACTCTTCACAACTTTATAAAAACTGCCCCTCAAAAATTTTGGCGTTTCTTAAAAGGAAAGAGGGAAATGATCGAGCAGATTGTTGAAAACGATGTGGTCATTACTGACAGTGCAGAAATGGCAGATCGGTTTAACGTGTTTTTCCAATCAGTCTTTTCAGCCCACGAGGTACAAAATCTCGATGAGGCCTTTCATTCTGATATTGAAAGGAGTACGCCAGAAATAGAGATAAGCCAGTCCGGAATATTTGCTAAGCTATTGTCACTGGATACAAAAAAATCAACAGGCCCGGATAAAATACCGAATGAATTCCTAAAGCGATATGCAGAGTGGCTATCTTTTTATTTAAAAATTATCTTCGACAAATCATTACAAACGGAGTCACTCCCGCAAGATTGGTTATCCGCACGTGTCGTCCCTGTGCTTAAAGCAGGAAGCCGCTTTACGATAGAAAACTACCGGTCTATTTCATTGACCAGCGTTTGCTGTAAAGTGATGGAGCACGTCATTTCAAAATATATATTTACTTTTTTAGAGGAGCGAAATACGTTATACTCTCATCAGCATGGCTTTCGAAATGGTTTGTCAATTGTAACGCAGCTTGTTGAAACGTTTCATGATTTTTCTTTATCTGTAAATAATAAGGAACAGATCGATGTAATTTGTATAGACTTTTCAAAAGCATTCGACCGCATACCTCACAAAAAATTATTATTAAAATTAAAAAAGATAGGGTTGTGTGATAAAATCGTTAACTGGATAGAAGCATACCTGTCAAATCGGAGTCAAAAAGTTGAGATAAATGGAAACATATCTCCACCTCTATCTGTAACTTCAGGAGTCCCGCAGGGCTCAGTCTTAGGACCATTATTGTTTTTGATATATATAAATGATATAGCTACGCATATTGCAGAACCAGTCAAACTAAAACTTTTTGCAGATGATTGCCTTCTTTACTCTGTCATAAACAATACTAATGATCAATTAGCTCTCCATAGGAACCTGGAAAATCTAAGGCAATGGTGTGAGGACTGGCAAATGGAAATAAATTTTCGTATGTCGACATATATCCATATAACGAACAAAAAAAGCGTTTTGAAATTTTGTTATAATATAGGCAATGTTAATTTGAGTGTTGTAAACAGTTTTAAGTACCTTGGTGTGGTGATCTCACACGATTTGCAATGGCGCACCCATATAGATAATGTCTACTCCTCTGCCTATCGAATTTTGTGCTTTCTTAAACGAAAGTTAAAACATGCAACTAGTAATGCCAAAATCACAGCTTATAAGACAATGATCCGTTCTATTTTAGAGTACGCCAGCATTGTATGGAGTCCAAACAAAAAAGTAGACATCAATAGACTAGAAAAAATTCAAAGGCAGGCTGCACGTTTCATTCTTAATAAATACAAACGAACAGACTCTGTGACTGAAATGCTTAGCCAGTGTGGACTTCAATCATTAGAAACTATACGGAGAATAGCGCGGCTAAAGTTCTTATTTGCGTTGTATAACAATCACTTAAACATTGAACCTGAACTATATTTAAATGAAACACATAAACGATCGCGCAGATTAAATCACAATAAAACAATCCAACCGTATAATAGTAGGATAGACGTTTTTAAATATTCATTCTTTGTGCAAACAATTGAAGACTGGAACCAACTTCCAGATTATGTCATTAATTCTGCAAATATGTCCAATTCGAGTCTTCTTTAGAAAATATATTTACCCAGCAATAAATAAAAAGGGCGTTTTTCTTTTTTTTCTATTTCACTTCTTTTTACAAAGTGTGGCGATATGGTTCACGTTGTCTTCAATTAAAAATTGTATAACAGTCCTCTTCTATTACGTACATATGTATAGAGTTCAAATTTTTGATATGACTGAATATATATTGTTGTTACCTCTCCTGTAATAGCCTTCAAGTGAAGGCTGACAGTATTCTTAAATAAAAATAAAAAAAAAATTAAAAAGATGAACAATAATGAATCTATCAATCAATATTTGTTTCTTACATCAGACCCTACTGTAGGCGGCAGAAAAAAGAAGCCATAACTTCTGCCTTGACAAGGTTTCTGCAGCGTTACAATGTGCACACAGCGACCACCCAGCCACATTCAAGGAATATAAAAACGATGCATATACCTCGTATTTGCAAAGCCATAAGAAGCACCAGCAAATTACCAAGGTACAAAACAGTAGTACGAAATCAAAAACATTGAAAGTAAAACACTTAAAAACTAATTACCACTTTACCCCGGATGCAAATAAATATTACAGTATAGACAAGCCTGTCCAGTTTCCTTTCCCTCACGAAGTACATGATTTTTTTAAACATTACTTTTTCATTTTTGGTTCGCTAAGCCTTGTGGTGTTTTTTTATGCACTCATATAAAGTGTAATATTAACACTAATATTGCGTTTATTCTAACTAGCGCTCGTTGAATTCATTTATCAAAACAACGATTTCAGGGTGGTGCTGTTTCCTTTGCCCTAGCAAAGCGGACAACATATTTATTTATTTATTTATTTATTTATTTACCCTCAGGGCCAGAGGCGTTACAGAGGGGAGTGGGTATTAAAAGTACAACATAACATACAGCGTACAACAGAAAATATTATACAGTAGTTATGGCTCTTTACAAAAAAATATTGGAAACGGCAGTTTTAAAACACTCGATATCGGGGATTTCGGCAGTGGCTCCGGGAAGGTGATTCCACATTGTTGAGGCACTCGGAATAAAAGACTCATAAAAATGCTTAGTACGACAAGAAGGAATGGCGACTTTATGACGGTGATCGATGCGTGCTGAAACGTAATGAGGTGTTGTTAGTAGCCTTTCTTTTAGAATCGGATTATTATGATATATTTTATGAAACAAGCACAGACGGAACATTTTTCTACGTTGTGAAAGGAGAGGTAATGATAGGCTAGACTTCATTGCGGTCACACTGGATGTACGATGATAATTTGAAAGGATAAAACGAGATGCACGGTTCTGAATCGCTTCTAATTCGGAGATAAGTGATTCTTGACCAGGATCCCAAACCGAAGCTGCATATTCCAATTTAGTACGAACTAATGTTTTATATAAAAGTAATTTTAATGAGCTGGGAGCAAGACACAAATTTCTTCGGAGATATCCAAGCATGCGGTTGGCGTTATTTACAATATATTCAACGTGACACGACCAGGACAGATTAGCAGATATATGCACACCCAGATATTTATACGATGATACGGTTTCGAAAGAGAGATTATTTAGACGATAAGAAGCACAAGGAGTATCAAGACGGGAAACAAGCATAGATTTACACTTACTAATGTTTAGTTTCATGTTCCACAAATCACACCACTCAGAAACACTGTTAATATCTGACTGAAGAAGTGAGATGTCAGAATCACTGTTAATTTCGCGATAAATGACGCAGTCATCGGCAAAGAGACTGACGGATGAACATATATTAGTGGGCAGGTCGTTAATATAAATGAGAAAAAGTAAGGGCCCCAGAACCGAGCCTTGGGGCACACCTGAGCCAACTGGAGATAAATCAGAATTGATATTATTAGCCGTCACAAATTGGGACCGGTTAGTGAGGAAGGAGCCCAACCATGCAATAACGTTAATGTCTAAATTTAGTTTAGTCAGCTTGAGAAAGAGAAGTTCGTGAGATACTTTATCGAATGCCTTTGAAAAATCGAGGAATATGCAGTCAGCCAGAGATCCACGGTCAAGAATGAAATGTAGATCATGTGTGAAACACAAAAGCTGAGTTTCACATGAAAATGACTTACGAAACCCATGCTGGGATGAATTGAAAAAAGAATTGGACTCTAAGTAGTTTGCAAGATGGGAGTAAATGATATGTTCCATGATTTTACAGGGAATGCTGGTAAGTGACACGGGTCGAAAATTATTTGTACAATGCTTTTCACCTGATTTGTGCAAAGGAATCACCTTCCCGATCTTCCAATCCTCTGGGCCCGTTTGCTCGAAGAGCTAACCGCGGTTAGCGTTGGCCAAAGTCCCTAGTAGGTACCGAAAGTACCTAGTTGTACCTACGTTGTACCTACTACGAAACTTTAATGGCTGGACATAAAACAAATCCGTCCTTTATTATTGGGCTGGAGCCTGCGCCACCTTGTGCTGAAAAAAATAAATCGTTATTTTTTTATGATACAACGTTTGCTTTATGGGAACCGTTTTCGGCTAAATCTAGTTGTAACTTGCAAGAAACGTTTGCTCAATTGAAAAGAAAAAGGATAGTTTCTTTTTTGCATCGAAATTCTTTCTTTCGAAGTGTGGAAGCGTAGACAAGACACCTAGTCAAAGTGCTTTGCAGTTTTCTGTTGTCGTGTTTTGCAAAAAGCAAGTGCGTCGACCGTCGCTTCCAAGTCTGGCAACGCCGTGTGTGCCGTGTCGCGTGCACGGCGTTTGTTTATACAACCAGTTTCGCCTCGTTGCACGCAACGCGCGTTTCTCGTTTTCGGTTATCATCTGAGTTTTCCTGTCTGTATTCTGCCCTTCGACCGACCGACCCACCGACAAACCCTCCGACCGGCCACGGACTGACTGATAAGATTTGCGGACCGATTTCCGACTTTGCTACCGGGCAGAATGTCCAACGCAAGGAATCGCCGACACAGAAGAGACCGCACGGACGCGCAGTACGCAGCGGCAATGATGAGGCGACAGCGTGTGCTGCGGGACCGCCTGAACCCCTTTGAGGATTTCGACGAGGATGGGCTGCAGCAACGGTTCCGATTTGGAAGAGCGGGCATAATGTTTCTCGCCGACACACTGCGTCCGGACTTGGAGCGCCGTACACGTCGTAGCCGCGCCCTCTCTGCGGAGCAGCAAGTGATCATCGCCTTGCAGTTCTACGCAACTGGGAACTTTCTGATCACTGCAGGCGACTACATCCGCGTGCATGTGTCAAGTGCTTCACGGGCTGTGAGGCAAGTCACCGTAGCGCTGGCTCGTCGAGCACAAGACTTCATACGGTAAGGGTCCTTTTTTTTTCCTTTTAATTGTAGTTTGCCAGCCGTATTGAAGTAAAGTAAATACACTAAAAATATATCTGAATTGCTGGTGATAGGGATGTTTTGTAGGTTGCCTTTTTATGGCAGTAATATTCTACCTACTAGTAACTAGCCCTCCCTCCTCCCCCCCCACCCCCCCCCTTTTCAATAGAAAAAAAAATGATTACGGCCGTAAGCGTCCTACTTGCCCGATTGGAAAGGGCCCGGGCACGCCATTTTTCTGAGAAACCTCAGAAAGCGACCCGTTTGCACTTTTGGTAAGGACTTGCACCGAATCACAGTCACTTTATAGGTCTTGGTAACTGAACAAAAATAAAAAGGGATCCTATGAAAACATGCAAACTTCACTATTGAACAGGTGCTACTGAGGCACTTTACTGCTACCACAAACTTGAAGGGCACAGCCAAAGTCCTTAGCATTCCTCATTAAAAAGGTATTCATAAGCATTGTAGCTGTAAGTTTACTATATGTGGTTTAATTGCTGAGGGGATCAACGACGCAGATGGCCTGACGCTGCGGAGGGGGCAGCCTTGCAGCACAAGTTCTACGACATGGCCGGCTTTCCTTTGGTCGTGGGTGCTGTTGACGGTACCCATGTCCGGATCCAGGCACCCCATGTGCACGAGGAGGCGTACGTCAACCGCCATGGATACCATTCCATCAACGTACAGGTGGTCGTTGACGCCTCTTCTCGGATTCGCAACGTGGTTGCAAGGTGGCCTGGAAGCACCCACGACTCTCGGATCTTCACGGAGAGCACCTTGGCAGTCAAGCTGGCCAGTGGAGAGTACGACGGCCTGCTGCTTGGTGACAGCGGCTACTCCTGTCAACCTTGGCTGATGACGCCATTCCTGTCGCCGTCATCAGCAGCCGAGGTCGCATACAATACGGCACACACGACGACAAGAAGCATTGTTGAACGGTAAATCTAGGCCATATATTGTGAAGGGCACAGAGATATTCATGCAAGACATTTCGAGACGACTAGCTGTCTTGACGTAATATGTGCAACACGTGCATGCTCCTTACGTCTGTTGCTATTCTTTATGGCATAAAAATATTCATACAAATTTTTATATTAATCTAACGAAGCATAAGGTACCGTGGTTTTATGTAAGCAAGATGAAAGTAGTATCCTGAGATTACGAATCAATACAACTTATAATAGCTGCCTAGGGTTCTGCGGTTTCAGTTTTTATTTTTCTGGAATCGGCATACTTTTTTCGGTTGTTATTGTGAGTATGAAATTTTCAGTTTTTATCGATGAATATTTTTAGTCGAAAGCTTACTGCCTTTTTCCGGTCGATATCTATTGACCAGTTACGTTTTTTTTCAAGCAGGTTTGTCGAGAATGCAGTAGATTAGGTTCATATCTGAGTTATTCGTCAAGCGGCAACACTTGCGGACATGGCAAACGTAACCTTGGTTATACATGTGCTGTGACGACAAATTCTTAATCGCAAAATTTGCAAACGTAATTCTTGGCACGCTTCTTTGTTCTTCACATGTGGAGGACTATTAAAGCTGCTTTCCTCTAACCAGATAGCACCTTGAGAGAGGCTGTTTAAACAGCTTTGGTTTTTTTCTTATGCTCCCTACAATAGGAACAGAATGACATTCCATTCCTCCCAGAACAAAAGTAAGACCAAATGGCTTGACAAACAATGAAAACGCTCCAAATCCGCCCTCTAGACGACCACAGCAAACTTGATGGACAAAGGAACGCAAATTGCATCGATGACAAACCCAAATACTTCCTAAAGTGTGCTTCCAACAGAATAGTTTGAAAGCACGGAGATAAGATAGTTGACTACTCGGTCACATGCTTCTATACTCTGTTTACTCGGTCACATGCACCTGTAATGGTCTAAAGTACTGACCATTTAGGTTTAAAATCAAACTTTCGAAACTTACCTCACCACACTTTATTGGGTTTTATCGCTTGAGACTGAAAATGCAGAAACTCAGTTATGTCTTAGGTCCCCAGGACTGGCAATAATGGGGAAAAGCACTAAACTCACCTCAGGTGCCAGTGCTACGCAAGACCCGGACAGAAGTTGATATTTTGTTAATTGGACAAAAAGAAGCATTAATGACAATGGAATTTTTTTCCTAGACACAGCAGTGGAAGTAACACTGTGCCTTGGCACTTTCATATGTCTACTTTTTGAAATGTCAGTTTCGGGCTGTTTAATGAAAACTAACTAAACGTGCTAGATATGTATGTACTCATATTGAGTGCACAAGTACAGCTAAGCTCGTGCGTGCTAAGATGCGTGTGATCCAAAAATAGCGGCACATCGGTGTAAGTCGCAAACAATTGTGTGTTGCTGACCGTCTTGACCGATTGGCCAAGAGTACATGCCTAGCATGACCTATTCTGCTCTCATCGATGGATTTAAGAGTAGTGCCAAGGCATCATTTTGGACAATGTTGAAGTTGAGCATGCAATAACAAGTTTCCACAAATAGTCTCTAGACACCATCTTACACGTCATTCACGACTGATGATGAGTCGCTGCAATCTCAAATGTTCAGGCAAATCTTGCTTGGGATTCCGTTGTGAAAGCGCCATAAGACCCTCTACCAAAACTTTGGCTGCATGCGTCCAGGAGCTTCCACTTGAGTCAGAAATGGCGGTGCGTGGACCACTAACTAATAGGAACACTAGCGGCACAATCAAAGGGTAGGAGTACTTGGATAAGGCGTTATATCAAGTGCTTTACGTTTTACATCTCCCAGACTTACAAGACGGATTCTTATTGATCAATGACAAAAGTAGATGGGTTGCGCTACCACGAACATCTATTCCTGGAGAGTGGAAGGGAAAAGGCTCAACAAGACAAGAGTCTGGCTCTCTTTCTCTTTTCACTCTGTCTCACAAGTAACATGTAGAATGAAATTTTGATGGTACTGTATTTGTTGCAGTATAAAGCTTGGTTACAAGTTAATTCTTACAGCGTTGGCAGCAATCAGGTAGCAAAAAATTCTAACATATTGGCCTGTGCATATGCAGGTGTTTGGTTGGAAGCATATCCACGAAACCCTTTGAGAATAGCGCTTGAATAAAGCTGCACTTTGCTTGTTGCTTTCTATAAAATACATTGCACAGGCTAACCTCAGGTGACCCCGGATGTGAACGCAGTGTAAAAATAATTCGGAAGGAAAATAAAATGGTATGCATAATGCCCAGCTTTCGATATCCTGGAGCAATGGGCTGGAGCTTGGGCTGGAAAAATTAGGAGGTGTGATATCGGGCACGGCAGCCAATTTGCGATTCGAATTCAGCTGTAAATTTGTCCTTGTTGCGTGTCATCCTCTTGAGTATTTGCGTTCCACGCTGTTGTCCGATTTTGCTATTGGGTTTCTGGGAAGGAATAACATGTGGTTTTGATCCATGCGCTCTGTACAGGACAATCGGCCAACTCAAGCGGAGGTTCCATTGCCTTCACGCTGAGCTCCGAATGGCTCCAGAACGGTGCTGCGACATCATTGTCGCGTGCTGTGCCCTCCACAACCTGGCCAAGAGGTACCCCTGCAGGACACCCGTGGCCGCCATCCCCGCTGAGGTTCCCGTTGAGCCCGTAGCAGCCAACCGTGCTGAGAGCAACGAGGCCCGAGACTTTATTGTCAACCATTTCTTCGGCTAAGTGTAAGTGTCTGGATAGGTATCTTCTGGCTGTCCATTTCTAATGCAAGATGCTTTGTTATGATCGTGGCTATTGCTTTCACCTTTTGTTTATCAGGCTTTGCAGATAATTATAAGAAAATTATGTCAGACAGTTGTCTAACTAGATCAAATAATTGCTTGAAATAATATTTATTGCTTTGCTACTTAAACATCAATTGTATTTTTGGAAACTGCAACAGTTAGGGGCTCAACCGTGCTGCACAGTTAGCAAGAAGCCAACAGCTTTGAGATATTGATTAATTTTATTTTAAGCTTTTTTTGTATGATCTAACTGGATGTAAGATTATCATAAGTTCTACCCAAAATAACCCATAAAGGAGTGTGACACATGTGACAATGCTGAAAGTGTGTTATCAACATGACAATGACATTCCAGCAATGCATATATCACTCTTGCACAGATCAATTCGGGTAGTGCTTGCAGATATCCCACATAGAGTTTCGAAATTTGGATGATAGAAATGTAAAGAATGATTGATGGACATCCCCTTATACCTGTTGCTTCCATAGCAGTATGTGTAAATTGCAGCATGAGCGACGAAATAAGTAATGAAAAAAAATTTTCTTACTTCCCGCATTATTGTTACAAAGCTCGAAATGTGTCATTTGAGGCACTTATAATTAGCTCGTTGGAAAGAGTGTGCTCGAAAAAAATCCCTGCCGAAGCTATTGGTCAAACGGGAGTGCAGTGCAATGTCCAACACTCCTGCAATCGCACGCTGCAGCTCAACTGCTTGTTACTGCTTTGGTCTCCTCCCCATCAACTCCTGCACTCTCGCAGAGCTACAAGCATAGGCACACACGGGCTCTCTTAAACTAATAGATTTTGAATTTGATTTCCGGAGTTCATAACAATGCACTTTTCAAACTTCTAACTAATGACACGAGGGATGCTTCTTCAAATTTGTGCACTTCTTCGCACTCTCTGGAGCTCTCTTTTTATACTGTCATTATTTTTTGTAATACATTTCCCACACCGACGGATGCTTTATGGGAAGTGCTGAAGTCAGCCCTATAACAGACTATGTGTGCACAGTTTATAATGAGGCAACTGAAGAAGACAGTTATTTTCCCATTCAATATCTACAAACCGATACTATTTAATGGGTACAGGAGCATGAATAGGAGAGTATAGTGAAACAATGTTCATTTGATACCAATTTCAAAGCTATCAGTACAAATTATATATACTACCCCATAGAATGTTCATTTTTCACTGCATACTCATGGTTACTAGCTCATAGGATTTACATAGTGTACGCTTCTGAGTGTTGAGTCATAACACCTTTCACAGGTTTTTCCAACCCGCAAAGCTTTTCTCTTATTTTTCACAAACCTCCTAGGGTTAGTTCATATTTTCTTCATCCTGGCTGGCATGGTAACATCATTTGCAAAACATTTATTTTTAGTAGGGCATTGTCCAGAGAGGAGCTTTATTGTACATACTACACTCTCATTAATTCAAACTCCAGAAAGTCACATATTTTAGTTGGATATATATGATACTAGAGAACATTATGATTTGTTACATGGATAGCGATATATACAAAGCAGATTTTGGCCAGTTTCCTCTACATAGCACAATAGCTTGCTTATAGTTAATGCATAACTATAAGCAAGTACAGGCATAACACATTTGTGAAAGAACTGTGACTAAGTTTATTCATCCGGCAAAAAAGTCGTCAATTGTGGACTGTTTAGTCAGCACATGAGATCTCAAAACAAAATTTCCAATGCCAGCCAACGCAAGCAGCTCTTTACGGGACTTTTCCTTTGCAGACAGAAACTTCCGGAGCTGAGCGATGTGCTCAAAGGCCTCTGCGGCTGTGACAGTTCGTAGTGGGTCATCCATTTCTTCATCGTCATCTTCACTGTCACTGCTGCACTGTGCTGGCATTACTTTCCGTACTATGTCCTCTAATGAGTCATCATGACAAACACACACATCGTCGTCAAGACTAATATAGTTCGCCTGCACGGCGTTCACATTACGTGTTTCAAGGCCAGAAATCATGATGCCAGTGAGCTGTGCCTCGTCCTCGTTGTCGTCTTGGTCATCATTGCTAGTCTTGAAGCACATAATTTGAACGCCGTTTTCCGTTCATGTGTGCCGTTTTCGCTAATTCATAGTTTTTTGTTCTCGCGGCCCCGTTGACTGCGCTTCTTTCCGAGCACTGGTGCACTGCGGAGAAGCAACACTCGCAAAAGCAAGCTCCGCAGGTATTGCTTCTCTGCGGTGCAGCGGTGCTCGGAAAGAAGCGCACTCAACAGGGCCGCGAGAGCAAAAAACTATGAATTAAGCGAAAACGCCATTCGAATTAAGTGGCTTATAAATACATAAAAAAGCTTAGCGGGACAACCAAAATTTTTAAACCTGTTTGAAATAACTGGAAGTACGAAATATCCGAGTTCGAATTATCGCGAGCCTACGTACAAGCAGCAAGTAGATTTCAGCTCCAAAAAACTGTTGTGTTGGATAACAGTGTATTTTTTTCTCGGTTGTATATCTATTCCGTGCGGACAAGTGATCACTTTGTGTTTTTATGTATGTGTGTTATTTCCCACCCCTCCTACAATAATGCCCTCGAGGCGATGAAGGTACTCTTTAAATAAAATAAATAAATAAATAAATAAATACTTAAAGAACAAGGTAAGTGGTGACGATTCAAAGTAATAAGAGTTGAAGACCCGGGGCCCCAAAAGGTGACACACGCAACAAAATGATGTAGTGTTGTGTTTGATCCCTTTTTCTGTTCCTGAGTTTCGGGATATTCTTAGTATGAACTTTTTCGTACATAAGCAGCACACAGTCCATAGGTCGCAGGAGCATATCCAGGCAGAAAAAGCCTTTATCTTAAAAGCAGAAGGAATATTTGCAGATGCAAGTCAGAAAGTGTCTGTGGTCCACTCATCGATGACTCGAACATTTTCTTAAAACACAGAAACTCGACCTTGGTCTTCTGCCGGGAGGCTAATCGTCTTGGCGACCTCCTCTCTTGAGCTGTGACGGGGAGCCGCGTTATGAAAGGGAAACATGTGAAGGGATATAGGAAAGAAGGAATTATACATCTGCCTTTGAGCTTAACCCATATTTTTATTTTAGGTATCCATGTAAATTATGTGCCACCTTTGGGGCGTCGAAAGCCTGGGTGCCATACTGCCAGTATGATATTCTGTTGCTTACTTAACCACAGCGTAAAATATTGCGATCAGAACAACCACGCTGGTCTAGTGTAGGGATAGTCAACGACATGGAAAAGATTGTGTGCAAGCTTCCCTTGTAGATAGCATGCATAAAATAAATGAAGTGTCAAACATACCATGTTTGCACGATTCTAACGTGGCCCCGATACTTACATGCAGGCAATTTTAGCTCCCAGATATCGAAAAATTTAATTGCTGCCGATTCTACCGCGCAGGTAAAGTAATGCACTTTGAACACCCATAAGTGCAGCTCTTAGGCGCTCGTTTCCGGCTTGAGCGGCGTCGCCGTCGCCGTCGTCGTAACCGCCGGTGCATGATGGGTAAATTTCTCTGCTAAATCTAGCGGAAAAATTTCTCCGCTAAATCTAGTGAAAAAATTTCCCCGCTAAATCTAGCGGAAAAAATTCCCCGCTAAATCTAGCGGAAAAAATTCCCCGCTAAATCTAGCGGAAAAATTTGTCCGCTAAACCTAGCGGAAAAATTTCTCTGCGGGGTCACGTGACCCCCCCCCCCCCCCGCCGAGGTCACGTGACCCCCCTCCCCCTCAGTACCCTTCCCTACTCCTCCTCAAGAGCTGCGCTCTAATTCGGCGTTACAGAGTTGTAAACGGCCTTCACTTTTTTTTTTTCATACAACACTTCGCGAGCTCATTGGGTCGCTGGGATTGCGAGGCTACGCAGTGTCGCTCCGTGGTTATCGTTTCCCGTCAGTGTGATGACATAAAGGCGAAAGAACGCGCGATACGGATACCAAAATATCTAATGTAAACAAACGGTCACAAAGGCGATTGGGCTAGCTGCCTTGCGTTTTTCTTTTGAGTTTTGGTTTCAATTGTAAGTGCCTCTAATTTTAGGCACCCATTTTGGCAAAAAAAATGTGAGCGTTATAATCGTGCAACCAAGTATGTAGGTCAGAAAAAACGCAAAATATGTATACAACACAGCGACAAACAATGCAAGTAGCTCATTACATGAGTTAATCTTGTCCTAATTGTCTTTTTATCAGTTCAATTTGCAGCTGTGCTCGGGTGGTTTCAAGTCTAATGAGTTCTCTTTGCTCCCTGAGCACTTCCTCCCCTATAGCATAGAAACTCCGTGCAGCATCTGCTGCAGCGAGGGTTGCGTTTGCAGCCTGTATGGCCCCATTTGTGTACTTTCTCTCAAGGAGTATATTCTCATGCTCCAGATCCTGCTGTCGCTCGGCCCTTCTCTGGTACTGCTGTGCAGCCTCACGGGTCCAGCGCTGGTTGTGCTGCACAACAGGAGAGGCCAGTGTTCTCTGTGCTGCGTCGTCTTCAACTGTACTGCTGCCAGATGACGAGGGTGGCGGCGTCGTCACCCTTCCCGTGCAGCTGCTGTAGTGACACGCATGACCAGGAAATTGTTTGAGGTTAAAGGGATACTACAACAAAATTTCGGGTTTCATTTTTTGGTCTATATGTGTTCGAAGGAGCAGTATCACATCGAACACAACAATATCTTGTTAAAAAAGTCACGAAAAGGAATTTTAAAACGAATTAAGCGATTGGCAAAGAGCACCAGGTGGATGTCGCTAACGCCTCGTTTGTAATGCCAGTCTAAGAACCTTGACAGCTAGTGACGGTAACTGTCTCGCCTCCGGCTACCACAATAGAAGAGGGGAAGGAGGAACTCTCCTCTTCCAAAGAATCCTTTTTGTATGTCCCAGAAGTTGCTATTGTCCCCCTACAAGATTATAAAAGATTAACCCTTCACTCAAAATTCGTACAAAAGCAGCCGCTTTGGTGGCTGGAACGACTAGGCCATCCTCTCGACGTCAGCCTCGTCGCAGCTTTGCTCGTCCCGAGACGAACTACGTCACGATTGCGTTGGGTGTCACATGCTCTCCGCTGGCTGTTCTCCGAGCGCTTGTCAGGGTGGGCCGTTTGTAAGGAAAACTATAGCCACCAGGTTCAAAATACAAACGTGCGATTGTCATTTAGGGATACAGTGGATCATATTCAACCTATTTTTGAACACGACGGGTATATTTTTAATTTCGTTGAGGTATCCCTTTAACGCATAAGCCTTTACAACGATTATCAGCAAACTTAAAAACCCAGGTCACTGACTGGCTGTGGATGGCAGCCCGAGGTACAATATTGTCCTGCATAAAGTTAATGCTCGGGACGTGTTCCGAGCATGCGCAGTGAGAAAAATGGCAGCTCACAGAGGGCTATTGTTGGGCAGGAGTGAACTTGTAAATTTCAGCATAACTTAGCAAACTGCAAGGGCTACAGCTCCAGAGAGCTGCTCAGAGCATTGAAGCAAAGGATTGTGACTAGACACCATACTCGTGCACGTACGTCCTCCGTGACATGATTCTCTCCGTCCTCTATCTCTCCAAGTGATGCATGAGGGCTGCAGTGCATGACATTTTTGACGTCACCCTGGATCAGGGTACATATATATGTGGGAGAACTGAGTGCAACGTGCGGCAACCTTAATCCAGATGTGACAGTAACACTTGTCATAATTTTACCACATATGTTGGTGGTACAACAGACTGGAGTGCCTAACCCCGCAACTTTGTTTCATTGGCGGTTGGTAGAGTCGCCACATAGACATTTGTACAAGATTTAAAACAAGTAGATGTGGCACACTCACACCAGCCGTCATATGTGATTATTGTGTACCCAAGCACTGTCCGGCTAACTGGGACATTGATACTTTTTCAGATTTTGTTGGCACAGATCAGCATCGAATAAGTCATTGGTGCATTCTCAACTTAATCTCATAAGCGTTACCAAAAAAGAATGGATTTTTGCTACGTTAGCAGGCATGTACGAAGATCATGCAAAAACATTTCCACTGACAGTGGAAAAATTTGGGTATTGAGTGACCTGACTTTGAAGAAAATAGGTGATCTCAACTTGAGAGAAAGACTACCATAGCTTTGTTGATTATGATGTAAATATTTCTTTGTAATTTTGTGGTACAAATAGTTTCAAACTGTGAGTTTTACTGCATTTACCCTAATAAATGGTTTCATTGGCACTTTTTCAGCAGTGCAGAAATGGCTAAATATGTGAAGGTGGTGTCCTTGTGCTGTGTTCTGTTCTCTACTGGACAGGTTTTGACTCGTGCTCCTAATATTGTCGTTTTGCTTCATGAAGTTGGTCTCTATGTAAGGGCACGCAGCAGTAGTGTTATGCAACTGACATGTCTACTTTGAGATGGAAAACCAATATATTCTTTTATGACAATCCAAACTGTTCCCTATGCTCATCAATGTTTTCTAGGAGCATGCCAACAATTGGTGACTTTTGATATGCCTTGTGTCTCTGCTCAGTTTCATACCTATCATCAGTGACAGCAGAACATCCCTATCATCAGTTTCATAACTATCATCTTGTGGAAGTACTCATAATGTGACGAGCAGAACAGAAAAAGAATGCACCTTCAGCGCGTGCTCATTCTCTTCTGCTGCTTGTGCATCCTTGTGCTGTCAGGGCTAGTAAGCTGTAACTGGGTGCAGAGCTTCCACTGTACTATCGCCTCCATTGTCACAGTCTACATACAGTGTGCAACGATATCAAACTTGTAGGCGTAAGGGTGGGCCATTCAATTAGCACAAGTAAGGTGATTGACGAAGCCACGTGCTCATACCTACAACTTTAGTATTGTAATGTATAAAGTATCAACAGGAGCATAGCATACACAGCATGGCCTATAAAGTGTTACCTACTTTTCGGTGTCACCGATGATGACGTCAATCCCACAGATCGTCGGGGAATCGTCCCCGATCACATTTAAAACAGTCTCGACAAGTGGTGTCAGCTGATGGGGGTTGGGACCAGCACCTATGAATTGAAGTACACTTATTTTGTTTTCTAGGATGTAAGCACAATTAGAGGTGGGGGAGGGGAGACAGGGTGTTCATTATTCAACATAGTATCAATGTGCGAATGAACAGAAAACGCGTAAACATGTAATTGCCAATAATGATAAGATTGTTTTCTTACCTTCGTTTTTTTTTTCACCCTCAGGTTCCTATTATCCGGTCTCGGGTAATATGTGATGTTGGACAATTTATTTCTTTTTTTTTTTTGTTTGACAGCAAACTCACTGTTGCCAGCTACCGGCTAGCCTGGCCCACTCTGTGCCTGAATCGGTTGCGTCGGAAGTGTTTGAAACGTGGAGGGGCGACGGAGCCTCTGAGCTTAACCCCGCCCCCTTTTGCAGCATTGTTTACCGCAGCTGTCTGAAATTTCAAGGGGGGGGGGGGGAAGGGGAAGGGGGTCTGAAGCCCCCCTGCCCTTGTTCCCACGCTACTTGCCTACATACATTTTTCTTCTGTGTTTAGTTGAACAATAGTGTCTACATTGTTTACAGTGCTAAAGACAATGTTTTTGGCAAGCAAAATTTGGACATTAATTTTGAGAAATTACGCAGGCCCACTGCATGGAACAGGATCCAAGGTGCTTTGGGGCTATTTCTGTGTTAGTGCCACTGTGTTGAAACTTGTGCGAGTAAGAGCTAATTAATCTTTGGGCTTGCCCTCTCATGATATTGAGCGAGATGTTAGTTGTCGCGCATTGAATGGGGTCTTCGGTTGAGATATTTGCCCCAAAAATTTGAGGGGCTAATATATCACTCTCTAATAAATTTGTACAGTGCACCCAAAGTTTCCAATAAAGATTTTACAAATATCGCCCTTTTTTCTGTTTTTGTAGCGCAAATATTGGAACTTACCTGTCCGTTGGTCATGTTCTTTGTACAATCTGTACAAAGTTCGGCACTTTTTAAGTAATTTTCTCCATGCTTCTTGAAGCTGTTTCACTGAACGCGGAACTTGGTGGCGGCGGGTCATGGAATTGGCGACTTGGTCCCAGGCGCGTCTTTTGGTTTTAGTAGTCACGGTAGGGCCGAATTTTCCCAGGATTTGGTATTTTCGAGCCTCAACTTCCAGGACTAATTCCAATTTTTCATCTAGGGTCCAATTCTTTTGACGCAGCGGCGCGGTCCCCTTTGAGGTAGTCGCTCGGTTCATTTTCGTTTGCAGAAGGAGCATGATCGTCTGCTACCTTGGTTTGTTTATCTACACAATTGCAACATTATTCCTGCTAACCGTAAAATATTTTTTCAGAAGCAACGCGAAATAACAAACAAGTGCATTTCCAACAACTTCAGTATTGTTTATTTCTCGGTTCTACAACTTTCGCAGACGGCACAACGGAGTTGATTCGGGAAAACTGCATGTACCGGCTTTCTTGGAGGGCGAGTGAATTGAACGATCGGCAGGTCACTGGTCTTTTATGGACAACGTAGCATTTCACTAAACCCAGAGAAAGTTCTGCTACTCATCACTGCTAAAATCCATTGGACCGTTGAGCCTCTGTCCGCCGTTTATCTGCAGAACGGTTGATGCTGCAGCTGCAGTCGCACTGTAAGCAGAATACGAGGATTTTGTACAAAATGGACACCCTGAACAGAAATTTTCCCGGCGTGACTACTTTCAATAAACCGCAATCGCTACTCAAAAGGCAACTCTCCGTAATGCTTCCTTTCAATAAACGTATTCTGATCCTGCTCCTGCTTGAAGTTAGTTTCACAGCGCTCAACATAACGTGAGTATGAGGCTGGCCTCATCACAACCCTATCGCGAAATGTTTTGGTGCTCACCGTAAAACGCTTGTCGTACTCGGCTATCGTGTTCCTTGGAACGCATCCCACATTTCGGCGCTGCGATGCATGATTCTTGCCGTGCTTCAATGAAGCCGATGCGAAGCTTCGACAGTCGGCGACTCCGGGCCACTGTACTTCTACAAATCGGTGACTCTGAGCCACTGTTTGTCGACGGGCTGCTGCCGTGGACTTCAGTCGCAGTCCCCTCGAAATGTCAGTTTCTTTAAGGCGCACGTAGGATACTTGTACACTCTTAACTTAGAACACGGAACCTAAATCATCGCTCTGAAGACAAACACCAATGCGATCGCGACCGCGGAAACTGCGTACGCCGCAGCCATTTTGTCGAACGACGCGACGGGGCAATGCGTAGCTCCCCGTATCCCTACCGAGCCAGTCACGTGACTAAAAAATCCCTCTCCTAGGTACTGCGGCTAACTTTAGCCGCGGTTAGCTGTTCGAGCAAACGGGCCCTGGTATACTACCTGTATCAAGAGAGTGCTGAAACAGTTTACTCAGGATTATAGAGCTATACATCTTACTATTAAGCAAAAATTTAGAGTTGATATTATCGATACCAGAGGATGACGACATCTTCAGTTTTTCTATTATTCTCGCAATACCAACAGTGTCAATAAGAACTGGGTCCATTGGAAAAAACTCGTAAGTGTGACAGGCAGGGTAAGTAGCATTTAGATTACTAGAAAACGCTGAAACAAACACCGCGTTGAGAATGCTAGCGCATTGACCGCTAGGAACTACTGTACCATCAGTACATCTAAGTGTTATAACATGCTTGTCAGTCTTGTTTACAACATTCCAGAATTGTTTAGGGTTATGTATGAGCATGGAAGGTAAAGTGTGACTAAAAAATGAGTATTTCGCTTCTTTTATTGCTACTTTGTAATTAGTAGCTGCACATCGGTACGTGTCCCAACGAGACTGGGAATTGGATGATTTCGCGGAACGAAACAAGCGTTTTTTCTTGTTTGACAACCTTTTCAGTGACTGGTTAAACCACGGTGATTTACGGTTCGATCTGATGGTTCTCAATGGTATGAACTTATTTGTGAGTGAAGCCACTTCATTTATAAATAAATTCCAGTTCATATTTATAGATCTCTCATCAGACCCTTGTAGGAACTTATCCAGAAACAGACATAGCTATCGATTAATAGCAACAAAGTCCGCCTTCTTATAATCTCTAATACATTTATAGTTGTTATCTTGATTAGGAACAGGAATGTTCAATGTGAAGTGAAGCAAAGAATGATCGCTTAAACCTGTTAAGTAAGTTATGGGACTGACAAGGTGTGGGGAGGTGCTCAATACAAGTTCCAAGACACTTGATGATGTGGGCGTAACTCGGGTTGGCTGGGTTACAACTTGCGAGAGATTGAAATCAGCACACATGTTCAAGAAATTGCTACACTCGGTTGGGAAACGTACCATAATTTTATTAATTGAATCATGTAAATTTTCAACAAAAGTCGCACTGAACGATGGTGGACGATAGCAAACACCCAAGATAAGCGTTTTGAAACGCATGCGAAGTTCAACCCAAACAAGTTCCAGGCTGCTTACGACATCTACAGCAGACAAGATAATGTAATCGGCGACGGCAATCAAAACATTACCGCCGCGTCTTTCTCCTCTGTCATGCCGAAAAACGTTGAATCGCCAGGTACACTCAAAAAGCTCATTGCTCCCAACCTTTGCGGAAAGCCACATTTCAGTAAGTACCACTACATCAGCATCGCATGAGTCAATGACAGAGCTCAGTTCATCACGTTTAGATGAGACGCTTCGAATGTTAGTGAAAAGAAGAGAAAGTTTATTTTTGTTATCAGACGCCAGTCCACTACCCCTCACGTGTTGTTATCGCGAAGTGCTTGCCGGTGATGCGTCACCTTCAGTGTTCGAACTTCGATTCGGGCTGCGCTGATTAGGGGTGCTAGCATGTTCAAACACACAGCCATCGACTGGGTTGTAACTGTAGGTCTTGTTATTCATGTAAAGTTTGTTGTATTTTAGTTTAAACACCGAGTTCTGCGTTTTCGCAAATTCAATCAGCTTTCTGCGTGCCTGACGTGTCGGGACAGAATAATCCTCGCTGACGGTAATGCCACTAGGCTTTAATTTTGCACTTGAAAATAAAATTTGTTGTTTTAATTTGAAGGATAAAAATTTTACCATTGCTGGTCTGCATTTGTTATCTGAAAAGACACCGAGCCTATGTGCACGTTCGATAGATTCACTTGAAATAGGAAAATTCAGAGAGGTCGACACGACGTTCAGTAGCTTTTCCTCAGTCTGGGCCCAGGTTTCTGAATGAGCATCCGTCAAGCCGTAAAACAAAAGATTATCGCGTCGTGACCTGTCCTCTAGCTCAGCCTGGCTAGCCCGTAATCGTGAGTTCACATCAATAAGGCTATCAGTCCTCTGCCGTAACAACGACAAGTCTCGCTGTAGAAGGTCGCTGGACGAAGATTTAGATTCTACCGCAGTCAGCCTTTTATCGATAGCTGTGATTCTGCTCTTGATTAATTCCTGGCTTTTCTTAATATCATTTACGGTGCTGATTAAACTTGACTGGTCTTTTTCCATTTTTACTGTGCGCGAGTTAACACCTTGTAACATGACAAACATATCGTTAAACTGTTTTTGCATTGCGTCAGTCATTGGACTATTAGTTTCTGATGGAGCGGCATCTTGAGTCCGCTTAGGTCCTGGGTTTAATTCAACGTCCCCTGACATTAACAGTACTTGGCTAAGAACGTCAAAGCACTGACAGCACAAAGAGAACATCACTCCCGGGCATGGGAACAGGAAGAGGCATACGTCATCACACTTTTTTTCGAATAAAGACGTATCATTACTAACCTGCGTAAGCAAGCGCACGACGTGAATGAGCCTCATCGTGACGCTGTTCCCATGCCCACTGGGAGTGCCAGGGTCCCGCCAGTCGTTCTTATCGAAGAGCGAAGATGGTGATGCTGTCGATGACGTTGCCTTGCTTGACCGAGGAATAATCCAGCATGGTTGCCAGCAGGGTGCGCACAAAAAGCCGTCCTCGCCGTTGGATGCTTGAAGCTGTCAGCAGAATCCCAGGAAGTGGAGGCAGTCGATCCCAAGCAGCACTGAAGGCATGCCGTGACCTGCGTAAGCAAGCGCACGACGTGAATGAGCCTCATCGTAACGCTGTTCCCATGCCCACTCAAAAAAAAAAAAATTATTAACTGAGTGAAGAATTTTTTCTCGGTATCGAGTAGTTTAGCAACTCGAGAACGCAAACCCGATTTGAACAGCAACTGAAACTTAATCATCAACACAAAAAGTCGAGTTAAAAGGGCGCATAAATTTATGTTATATGTTTTTAAAAGTTCTTGATTATTAGGTATAATCTGTCCGACATTAACTTTTTTCTTGTCAAGTAATGCATATTTTTTCACTTGCATTCACTTTCACTTTCACTTACAAAAATGCTTGAGTTTTATTTAAACACAAAACCAGGTTAAGTAAGAATGCCTCAGCTCCAAAAAATTATGTACTTGCGACAAAATATTATGACATTGTGAAGGTTTTTTTTTTGTGTTCGAATAAAAAACTGCTATGTATTCAATAACAAATAAAACCATATCAAGTTTTTTTCTGAACCACTTTTTTATTAAAAGTAATTAATCATTTGTGAAGGCTTTTTTTATATAGCTTTTTATACTGCTCGATCATTATTCCCAACCCCATTTTATTGTTTTTTTTCTTCTTACGTTCTGAATAAATGTAACGCCAGTATATGATTACATTTGATTTTCTGGGCTTGTCCTGCATTCTCTTTTGAAATATAACTTAGCACATGGCGTGAAAATAATTTCTGAGTATCGGTAGATACTAATCACTTTAATAATAGCTGTGACCGGTTAAGATATCTTACGAAAGAAGAGGGCCTAATCAAAACATCCTCTTTTGTGTGACAGAAATATGCTCGGATTCTATCTATTTTTTACCATAATAAGGTGTAGCTATTGA